CACGCAACTGACGCACTCTCCGCTTCGTGAAAAGGCAAACCTCGCGTGATTTTTGTTTCTTCGCGTTTTCATTTTATTAGATTGAGGCAGGTCGCGCTCGCCCTTCGATCCCATTTGTTCGCTACAATCGATATTTGATTAACCGCTAACAGGTATACGCTTCGCTCACGAGAATTTCCGCATTGTTCGATGCTCATACCTAAACGCGGCGCGATAGAATGCTCTACGATTGTCCAGTAATTTAACAATAGTAACAATAAACAATCACAAAAATCTCGCAGACGGGGTTACCATTACGAAACATAAAACAATATCAACGACGAAATTTATTACTTTCGCCAAGTGGTCGCTTCGTATCGTTCATGAATATTCACGAAAAAAAAAAATAGACGTACTGCGCTCAACTATGCGTTCGCTTTATTCGCTGCATCGTTTATGTCCCGCTTTAATTAATTTCTCGTATTTTTTTTTTCGAAAAAAAAAAATAGACAAAGAAAGGAAGTAAATATTCATTGCCGTTAAAGCGGACAAAATCGCGGACGCATCGCCGAGGTCCGGTTTCCGATAAATTCATTGGTCTATGCGTTTATGAATTTATGAATATCGCTAAAAGCTAAAATCGGGTCGGGTCAAAAGTTCACGTGACTTTCCGGTAATGCGGGATCCTTCTGGGTCTCACAATCGCGATGACATAATCGCGGATGATACCGCGATGCGTTCGTCTCGCGCGCAACTCGATATTGCACCGTCCGTCGCGCGTCGTCGGGGAAAAAGGAGATGTGTCGGAGTTTGTGCCGGAAATTTTATTCCGATAGAACGCGACTTGATCCTAACGATACTAATAACTATACATTTTGCCGCCGTTCGTGCTTGGTAACCGAAGCGCTCTATTTTCGAAATTTAATGCACGGCAAGTTAGGTCGCGGCTCATAATTTGCTGCGCGCCGAGGCGCATTACCGCCGCCGATGCATTACAGCGCGATAAAACGTTAATATAACCTGCGCCTTTCTCGATGGGCTCGTAAGCGAACGGCCGTGTAGCGTTCCATACGAGATCATTTATCCCACACGTATTTCTCCTCTCTTCCTTCCCCAGGTCGACGTTCAGTCTGTTACCAGGTATAGATGTCCGTAATCGAATCGCCGCGAAACGAAATCGAGTTGGAAGTCGGAAACCGCGAGGCGGAAGAAGGTTCTGTGCCTTGTCTCGATACGCCCGCGCACTATATAGAAAACGAACTTTATCGTTTCAGGAACCGGTAAAACGACATCATTAGTTTTATTATCTCGCCTCATGGTAAATAGAAGGCGCGAAACTGCGTAAATTTTTCAGCGGAGGGGAAGGGGGCGTTTTACAGCGGGTTCTTCTTCGAGGAACGTTAGACTGTAAAAATGGACTTTACGACGTTTCACGCTGCATGCGGATCTATTTGGTCAACGCTAACTATTTTAAAGGCTTTAAAAAGACACTTACGGCGCGTTCGTAAACATTTCGAGGGATAAGTAACCCTCCCGTTTTCGATGATCAGGCGTGAAAATTGTTTTCGGACTTGTTACGCGTTGCATTTTGCGTATAGAAACGGTTTTTCGTCGAATAATTCGAATGTTATCTCTCCTTTCTCTCTCAAATCGGCAATGTCTAGAACTTATGAGTAAAAATTTACAGGTTGTAGCTCGCGCCGCGACTGGTTCAGTTAAACGTCACACCTCATCCAATTTTTGTTACGTTCTCGCTATACGAGTAATGTCGTTTCTCGCGTAGGTGCCACTCGACCCGCTACAAAATACAATCCTCATAGCGCCGGATTCATTTTACCATCAGTTCCGCACACGAGGCGAACGCAATGGAAAAGGAGAAAATGGAATGGGGTCGCTATACGGGAGAAGCTCCAGCCCGGGCAACTCGACCTTAAATTCTTTCCAGAATGGAAAACTTCTCTGGACACGCTAGGATGTTTCTTAAAATAGTTGGACGGTGTTTATATGCCATTTTTTCATTAGTACACACCGGTAGGATGCAACTGGTAAAGTTCAACCAAATATTTTAGTTTTAGAAGTTCCACGCGCTGCCGACTATCGAATCTCCGAGAGACAGTAATATCAGCCAAGCACGCGAATAGTTAACAATGTTTTACACTTTTTTTTTACAGATATATTTGAAATACTTTAAGGCATAGTTAGAATAACTTGGGAAACGGGAATTAAGATCAAATGTTATATTCGATACGTCGGAACGTTGAGCGCAAGTTTAAGCCCTCAAAAATAAGGACGCGACGGCACGCGGATGAAATGCATTTTGATGAAAACGAGCATAAACACGATTAGTATCAATTAGAATGTAGTTAATATTATTCGCGTACAAAGAGAGAGAGAGAGGGAGAGAGCTACATGGGAGCGCGAATCAAGTTAATTATCGGGGAGTGCTTCCTCGTGCCGCCCCGCGCAGCTCCACGCCAGCAAAAAATGCGCGAAAGTAAAGCCGCTTTAAAAGTGAGTTAATACTTTAACAATTGCGAAAAGTTTTGCACGGGTTCGGAGTAGGAAGGGAGCAAAGGTCCGAAGCCGGATCCTCCATACTCTACGTAGTTGCGCTTTAATCCATTCAGCCACCGGCTCAACTTCTCCCGGCCATTTTGCAACTTGCTCGTTAATGTTGTTTCGCGGGAATCTACTCCTCGCGAGAATGGCCCACAGACAGGACGCATAATGGAAATAATCCATTCACTTATCTCACTGAGAGAATGTCTGATTAATCAAATCATTAAAGCCGCCTCCCGATGTTCAAAAGGTTAAACGGACCGTTAATACACATGTATTTGTTCCCATTACATACTTGTTTTGCTACAAAACACGGGATATGATTCGTTCGATCGTGGAAACGCGTGGGTCGACGGACGATAAAAGCGCGGGGAGTTGCCCTCAAGTTGCGAGAGGAAACAGGATATCTGGTTAAAGGAAATCACGTGGGTGATGTCATTCAGAAAGAAAGAAGAATAATCGACGAGTGCATGGGTCAAACCGATAGGTCTCTAACCACCCACGAATCACTCTGACAACTGATTCGAGCGATTCAACTTTATTGCAGCCGATATTGCAATGCGACGGGGATCGGCAGGAAGCCGACGACATTTCCGAAACACGCTCGCGTGTTTCGGCCGGTGCGTGTCACCGTTAATTTTAGTGTCTATTAACTCTGGTGATTTCACGCATCGTTTTTTTTTTTTTTTTTTTTTTTTACGACGCACCGGCACGTACTTCCCACGCCCACGCCGCATTTTACAGGTCCACGAGTCTCTCGTCGTACATAGCCCCCTCATTCATTGTCAACGGTGTAACGTTAAATTTAGTTCCGCGCCTACGCACAGAGTTAATAATGATGTTTTACGCAGCTAAAAGTTTGTCCCCGTTTATTTTCCGTACGCAGGAACGGCAAAGAGATTTCTTCGAGAATTTCCACGGAAGTGCGCCGCAAAAGAGGAAGGAGAGAAACGCGCGGAATGTTTCCACGTACCATTTGTCTCTTAAGAAAAATATATTAAATGTTTTTTTCTTATTTAAAAAAAAAATTATGCTCCGCGTTTCTTTCAGCCCTCTTACGTTTGCGTTTCAGAGAGACTCGAGCCCGCGCTACTGAAATATTCATGAGCGACTCTCTCTCTCTCTCTCTCTCTCTTTCTTAAACATCTGAAAAAAATGTCTCGTATTTAGCAATTATTCAATTGCTCGCTTGCCGTGACAGATTGAATAAACGCGAAAACGCGAGATTCTGTTATAACGAGCGCGAAACTGTTGGCGAGTTTTACTCCAATGATAATTTCATGATAAAATCATACGACTCGATCGTTGTATTTCTCTCTTTATTTATATTGTTAATCCAATTAAAAACTTGAAAAATTCTAGTCTTTTTAAATAACGAGTGTGAGTGCAAGTATACAGCAATCTGAAATTCGATCAGGCATATATGCTTTTCCCTTTATTGTACTTTATACCGTTCTCTGCTTCTAGTAAGGAGATAGACTGAAGTGTTCGATATCGTATCACACAGTCTCTTTTATCCTTGAAAATGCCGATGTATCCAGTAGGCGAGCGCCCGGAATTTCTCCGGGAACTATCCCCCGAGCGAATTTATTTCTCTTATGGCTCTCTTGCTTAAATTCGCCCATGCTTCACGTTGTCGTGAATTTACCAACTCGTGACTTCCACCGCGCGCGTTTCTCGCGCGAGAACATAACCGTTTAGGCGAGAAAGCTAACCATACCAATATTATTCATACGAAATAAACAAGAAGATTTAATTAAAGCACCAGCCACGGGTAAAAATCATTACAATTCCCCACCATTTACAGAAGCTCGTTACTCTAGCCCGATTTAAATCATGTTAAATAAATAACGAGAGAAAACCGACCGAGTGGTCTCGACATCTCCGTGACGTACAAAATCCTTATATTTAATGTAAAAACGTCCGCGCGCATGTTTGCACATATTTCCCGTATCTCGTATAAAATTTTCTCCACCCGATACCCGGTAATTATCACGAAAACGTCGTGTAGAATGGAAGAATTCGCGACGTGAAATTTCGCGCAGTTCGGAGATTCGAATTGATCGCCGCACCGTCACACCGTAACTCCGTGTTCCATGTTGAAGGCTCCCTGAATTATTCTTCGAGAGTGATGCACGTACCGTGCGTGCATGTGTGCGGAGACTCGCTCTCCATCGTTTCGTCTCTGTTTCCCCGAATCGGATTCGGAATCTGAGCGCGCAACAGGGTAATTGCAACGTTTGTCGGTCACGTTTATTATCGAACAGCGAATATATATTATCGTTAATGAGATCCTTCGACATGTTGTTCTAATCCTAATTAAACGAGTCGCTCGTTACTGCCATTTCGCCCATTGCGCAATCATCATTTGTATATACGCATCACAATAACGCAATATGCTAATCTAACCAGCGAACGATTGAGAAGCGGAAATGTAGGGGGAAAAAATCTGTCAAACTTACCGTTCCGCGTCGCGCCTAGTTTCACAGACTCTCGTACTGGAAGTGGAAGTTCAAAATCCATGCATGGCGAGGGTTGGAGAGCGTTGAGAGTACGTTGAAACTCTGCAATAGAATGAAAATTAGCGTTATTAAATTTGTACTTGTTGGGGGCAAATTAGAATAGTTAATATTAAGTAAACACGGTACGATTCGATACACAGAGTGTGCAAACCTATACAAGATGTAAATTAATTATTATTTATAACGTGACACACAGGGTAATTAATAATGTAACGATGTAATCAATAATGAGCCCCGCACTTAATCCGCGCGCGCACTGCAGCTCTCGTCGACCGTTGAGTTTTCGGTGATGAGATCGAGCTAGAGAGATAGGCAACCAGTTTCAATTTCCTGCAATCGTTCGGATAGTCAGCTCTAGGATTCTGGTTTCATATACGCGCGGCAGCGGAGATGAAGATAAGTGAAATTCGATGATCGAAAGTCTCGCTATTACGGCTCTCTCTCTCTTGTTAATCAATTCTGCAGCTATTATATTGAAACCGTTGCAATTTGGTATTAATAAAAAGAGATATAAATGTACATCGTTTTATCAGAGCTTCCATAATTTAGCAGTTTTATTTTATTCCTCACGTTTTCTCTCGCATCGATCGAGATAAGCGTCGATTCTTCTTGTTGTCATTACTTGAGCCGGAGTAGTTCGATTCCTGAGGAAACGTGGAAGGAATCGAGTTGTCGGTAATGCATAGATAACGTAACGAGCAAGATTCGCTGCTCTGCTTGCGTTTCAGCGTCGAGAAGAGAAACTCGTATAACGTTGCGACGACGTCTCGAACGAGTCTTTAATTGGAATCGGATAGAAATCGCTACAAATCCGTACGTTTCCTGTTCGCTTCTTCTAACAATACGGCGAATCCCCCGAGAAAGATGCTCCACCAGTTCGTTAAATAAATCGACTTCCGATGAGAAACAAGTGGGTTTAAGGAAAACCTTTCCTCTCGGTATTTCAGTAAAATAATACGAATGCGCGCGTTAGGAAGTTCAACGTAAGTTAAAAGAAGAGAATATTTCGTATCTCGCCGGATCGAAACGCGAGACCTGATTTTTCTTCTATTAGATTCTTTGCTCTTAACTTCGAATCCGCCGAGCTTCTACCTTCTCGAGTTCACGGAACCTTTCCAAGTATTTAAGCGAGGAAATATATATATATAACGTTGGAAAGGCTGGAAAGAAGTCTCGTCTTGTCCAAGCGTTTCTTCACGCGCCCGAAGACGTTCTTACAATTTCCAAGTCGTCCCCGTTCACGGCTTCGAGTCACGAAGTGAGGAAAAACATTTTCCGAGCAAATTGGAACGGGGATAGCTTAGCGTCGGCGAGATGAAGGAATAGCGGTATGTCTGGCGAAAAGCCACGGTGAATTTGTCTGCCCGAAACGAGTTTCTGGAACCGCAACAGAGCGCGCGGCACGGGCGTTGCTGTTTCACAAATCATCTGATTTTTGAAACTTTCACAATTATCATTCATCACTCGCAGGGAGCAAATTTTCCCGTTGCGTTGCGCGTGCCGACGATCGTCTTTAACATTGTGCTTATGATTATTTGTCGGCGACTTTCGTAAAATATAACAAATTTACTTAATGCTATCTCCAAAGTGATATGGGACATCGTATCGCAAATTAGCATAAACACTGCAATTGGCTCGTAACTCACTCAAGGATGACGCTCTTCCGGTTTGTCGTTATCTTTGGATCCCGACGCTAATTAATAAACCTGCGATTAATGTCGAGCCGACCGATTGAAAATTAATGGCTTCAATCGTTGTCACGCGAATTAATTGCCTCGTCACTGCGGTACGCGGATGAAGTTGTTATATCGTGTAAAATACGTAAAATACGAAGGGTCGCGAAAACCGATAATAACTTCCTCGTTGATAAGAATATCTCAGGCACATATGGCTCGTATTCAAACAAAAGACAACAATACGGACGAAAATTGAAATTTTTTTCCAGCGGATTTTATTATGTCCGATGACACAACCAACTATGCTAACATCGTTAGTATTCCGCGATATTTATCGAAGCTCATATCGTACGCTTCTCATATACAGTATACGTTGAAGAATGTTGAAAAATGTGAAACACGGTTTTCTTTGTACACTTGATATGAAAAACTATGATCCTGGATAAAATATAAGTACCACTGTTAAACATGTTTTCGCTCGGGGAAAAACGGTACATGCGAACAACGCATAAACGCACGATTTTAATAGATGAAAAAATTTCGGGATTCTGGCATTTCAGAGATACGCTCGTAAAAATAAACCCCGGAATCAGCGATTTATGATTCCGATGAATAACGAATTAGAAATGCGTGTCGCGTGAAAATAATAGCGAAGTGGAGCCTAGCGTGCAGCATTCTTCTAAAAACGCGACGTTATTTATAACCGCGGTTGAAAAACTTTCTTTCGTAAATTGACTGGTAAATAATGAAAGTAACACGTCAACCGGCGCGCATAATCGTATAATTATTGCATGCTCCCAACGGCGTAGACACTATATAATAAGACATTTGATCGTAACACGCGACCTACGGGAACCAGCTGAGTCACACTTAACACTTCTTTCTTCGGCGACCGCGCACGATTTTGCGTGTTTACGCCCGCGCACGCGAAGCCTTGGACAGCAAAATCGCGGATTTCTTTCCTTTCCCCTGGAGATTATTCATTCTCAGTGTTTTCGGAAGAAATGTCCTACATAAGGGAGGGTATATCGATACCCTATTCTTTCGGCGCCACTTGTGGCAGCAGCCGTCCTCGAAGCCAGATGTATCGGGTGCTCGGTCGTTCGGGAAAAATGGGAAAAAGAGGCGACGCGACGCGGGCGCGATGAAGGAGAACGTAGAATTGGGTCGAACACCCACACACGAAGGCGAAGCGGAGCCGGCGCGGCGCGGACGCTTGACGCGCAACTTCCGCGTTATCACGACGAGAGATTCTCGAAGAGAGCTCCGCGGCAACATGCCGCGGGCAGTTTTTCCTCCGACGAGAGATATCACATCACATCATATTTTACCCCACAAATCCCACCGTATCCTGATGTTTCTCCATAACCGGGCTTTTTTCCTTTTACGAGGCAATGATTCCGCCCGTCCGCACACACACATACACGCGCACACACACACAGACACGTGCGTAGCGCCGCCCGAGCAGCTTTCTTCTCTCTCTCTCCTTTATTCCTCTCCTTAATCGATTCCTCGTCGTGTCGTACGGCGCGCTGCTGCGATGTTGCGCGTGTAGATATCGAGCTTAATGGATTAAGGTAAGGAGGAAGCGCGCTCGCGCTGCATGCGTCTTGTATCATCCATTTGTGCTGTACAAACGGGCACGTCTTGCCCCACAAAGACGGATTTGCATCCCTTGCTCAACACGCTTACGCTGTTTATGACACCTCGCGGCGCTACCTCGGGGCAGCGAGAAAAGAATGACTCGATACGGCTTAAATACACGAATAAGATAAAGTTGCGCAAACGCACGCGAGACACGGCAGGTAACGCGACTTATCGCTACTAATTGGACAGCAAGCATTTTGCCGCTGAAGCGCTCGTTGTAAGCAAGACGATTGAGCATAAAGTCACGCGCGAAAGATGTGTCGTGGAAGGCGTACACAATGTAAGACAAATTGCACCGGCGTAGCGGTGAATTATTCTGAATTATTCGTCATACCGCGACCCCATATGTCGGGGCTCGTTGCAAATTATGTATACGCTTGCAGAATGAAATGGCAAAGGCTTAATGAGGAACTGGTTGTTTGATGTTACGCATTAAAACGCATATTTCTCCTACGTCTCTTTTTAATATACCTCATCTTGCTGTTATATTAATTTATATAGCGAAAATCAGTGAAAGAGAATTCAAATAAGATACAAGCGTTCGGACACAGAAATATATTATGACCCGTATAAAAAAAAAACACGACACAAATAACAAGTTAGTAAAATTATTATTGTTATTATTAATAATAACAATTAATTAAATAAATTACTTTCTATTTATAAATTTAAGCGCAAACGCGTTTGATCATGTTGCAATTGTACAGTGAATGCGTTGTCTCGAAATAGCTGTTGCGAGAGCTAGAGCGAATTCAAAGCGCGAGCGGCTATTGTTAATTCGACTTACGTAGTGAAACTTCCATGTCGAAAGTTCGGCATTAAACGCCAAAGACAAACTGCGATCTTAATCCGCTATTTCACGGCGCATTCTCGAAACGGTCAGGTGTTGTACTGTACGGGAAATGAATGCAGCGTGTGTAAACAGCGTTCGGAAAGTTTGCACGCTGGGCGTTTCGTCGAGTATCTTGAGCAATTTAAGCAAAAAAAAAAATACAAAAAACCAAAAAAAGAAGCGACGTATCTCGCCGCGCGCGCGTTAAACTATAAAATTCGTGTCGCAACATAAATAATTCATTGCGACAGAAAATGCAGGCAGCAGAATTTTGCCGGAAGGTGCTTTTTGTCTTTTTATCGAGGAACCTTATTTCTGCCCGCGCCTATCAGAAATCTATTACAGCGGTTACTTGCATTTTTCAGGTGTGCTGCGTGTAAACCTCCGCTAGAAATTGTTATCTCTGCCGAAGCGAAATTAGGCCATTTGGCTCGAAGCGCTTGATACTTGTTTCTTGACAAAAATCATGCTGAGCAGCAGCGTACAGTATCGCGTCTCGCACGCGAAGCTCGTGAAATGAAGTCACGACGGCGCAACAAAGCAATGAAGATATCGTTAATGAAAGAGAACGGAGCGCGATCGGTAATCAGCTCGCGTCGTAGGGAAGCAACGTGAACGCAAACGTTACAAAAAGTATCTCTTCCGGATGGACTTTGATAAAACATGTTGCATGCTTCTTCCCCGTGAGCGTAATATTTTAATAAACGTCCCTTATAATGAACAACGTAACGGTCAATCCCACATCGACTTGAGGTGAATTATCGAGTTCGCTCTGATTACCGTATAAAATCCGATCGACGAATTACGGCCACTTATAGACGTATACTTATAGACCAGCGGCCACTAATAGACGTACAATAGCGGGCACTGGCGTGACACAAAGCTAC